TCCGGTTCGAAATAAGTCTCTGGGGGGACTAGCATATTCGGCGTGTTGGAGTGATGCCGCGCTGCAGTGGCTGGCATGAAAGACTCCCCAAAGTCAGTGACAACTATCTGAGCTTCAGATAGCGAAACTTCTTCGCTCGCTTTTCCGAGCCAAACAGGCACGACAGCTTGTGCGGGGACACCATCAGGGAGTGGACGCTGATCTAGACAGGTAACTGGCTCATGGTGAGGCTGTCCATGCCTTTCGTAGAATTGCTCTGATAAGAGCGAATCCATACTCTCAGGAAGAAGAATCAGGATATTCCCGGGATGAAGATCTGACATGATATGAGTGCAGGTATCACGATGAATAGCAAATGTACTTACCAGCATGGACAATGCCCTGAGAATGAAGATGTGCCACTGCCAAGACTAGTTGAGCAGAGAAAGCCCTGGCCACAGACAACTGGAACAGTCGGAAAGATGAGGCATCTTTGGCCTCAGCCAAATTCATCATTCCAACCGCTGTGACAAAACATTGATGTACACCATTAGGCCCAGAAATGGTGAATTCATCTAATATAGTTGGAATGATTGCGCTGCCGGGATAAGTCTTGGCTGTCAACTCTGCAATACCAAGTTGATGGAGAATATTTCTTTCTTGGGAGTTAGTTGGATTGCTGTCTGCGATGTTGATATTGACGGCGAGATATTTTTCAGTTTTCTGATCTCTTGCCATCCAGATGGTTGAGTATGCGCCAAAGCCAAGTTTATGCACGATACGATACCGGCCATTCAACCATTCTCCTATAGTTGTTGGATGATAACCGCCTGGCCGGTACCGCTCAAGTTTCTCAACATCCTCGATAGGCATGTACTCAATAGCCCTCTTGATTGTATCCGAAGTGCCGTTGTCCTTCACAGATGTCATTCTACTGCCAAAAGCTGTGTATAACCTGGAATGTGGTAAAGCGCAGTGCTCGGTGCGGATAGGGAGGAAGGTAGAATTTGTAGGATAAGGACAACTTTGCAGCACCTTCCGAGAGCTAAACATGGAACTACACGACTTATGCGCATGATGTAACCTGTGTATGCACGCAAAGATAGCCTTAGGGATCGATGGAATCTCATTACTGCGCCGGGCTGCTCCAAACAGTAATCTGGCCAACTGGGAGGCTCCCTTAAGCAAGTGCGCCAAACACCATCTACACTAGCTTCTTGGTAAGAAGGGAAGACACCAGAGTTGCGGGGGGATAGATGAAGATATTGAGGAAAGGCGCGGGAGCAGAAGTAGAAAGGAAGGTTTGTCTTACCATCCCTGCTAGTAGCTTCGCCAATACAGATACGCCTACACGTGATCTTTTCTTCGGCCGTGGTTGGAAAACCCGCATTTGCTTAATATGTGACATTGACAGATGGACCGGAATGCAAAGAAAATATCATTGTATGTAGATCTGGTGGGAAACGACTAGCTATTATACATTAGCCCTAGTGGCTAACTGCACGCAGTACATGAAACTTCAATCGCCAGTAGGAAATACAAGAGGGAACAGGCCCCAGGCATGTAGTTTGACAGATAAGGAAATGTAAGTGAAGGACAGTTCATAGAATACACTGAAACGAAAGGCAGGGTTCTATGCAATCTGGTCTAGCCAATTTAGTAAGGAAAGATATGGTCACAGAGACAGGACTGGGATATAAGAACAGAAGGAAATAGTAGGAGAGAATAGACAAGGAGAGATAGGAAAGATATCTAAAGTGATTGACAGTCTCTCAAGGGGACTGATGTTGGGAAGTAAAAAATGGCTGCTCAGTTCTTAGTTTCAAGCACTTGAGCGAGGACAAATACGGCCGACTTGAGCGTCTCGTCTGCTTTGCCGCATATAGCAAAGAGCAGGTTATCCACTATTCGGTCCAGCTCTTTGCGAAGCTCGATGCTCCGGGACCCTAGGACACGTTCTTTGACACGAGACGAAGTAGCTGGACTGAACTGCATCCCAGGCGAGGTAGCTACCTTCTCTGGCACTGTATCTAGCCGGGACACGGGGGATGGATGCGAGAAGTTGTTGATCCTTCGGTTGTTCGATGCTAGGGATACAACATAGTTCCGCGCGATCAAAGCGGCACATAGGCCGCCTAATAGGTTTTCCGCGACGTTTGGGAAGATGTCGCGGAAGGGCTTCAGGAGTGCCCGTTCGTTGTTGTGACGGATGAACATGATGACGGGTGAAGTTAAGCGAAGCATATTTCGTGGGAAGTCCTTCACTGAATGTTCCAATTGATCAATAGTCCATTCATGATCCCACCACTTTTCTAACTCCTCCTTCTCTGACATGGTCGAGGAGCGCCCAGGTGATGCTTGGACCTGGGGTGATGTGCTAAATTTGGGTGGTCGCTCTAACTTGGGCGGAGACATCGGCTCAGGCGGAGCTGGCGTCGGCTTATTGCACACAATGGTCTCGCCGACGCTCTCTGAACTCATAGAGCCTGCATCAGTGTAGTCATCGTCGTCATCCTTGTCGTTCCGGAGGTCATCGGGCGAGGGACACTCGGGATGGGTGATATATCCACTGTCAGACATCTCCATTGGAGTGTCCGGACTGAAAGCTGATACCTCCTGTTGTCCGAGATCCGGCGTAGATGGAACGGGCTGTGGCGGAGTTGGAAGCGAATAGCTCATTGCTGGAGATGACTGCCGGGAGATATCGACTAACTTGGGCTTTGTTTTCCTCGCAACGGTGCAGATCTGGAAAGTCGTCAGTACATTGAATGAGAGTGTAAGCATGTAACACTTACTTCGTGTTTATCAGATGGTGATGTCCTCAACCGTGGTGGGCTCTTCTGTACAATCTGGCATTTCCTTCGACTCTGTTCTCGAGTCCTCTCGCCCTGGGAGCCAGGCGTTTCCACAGGTGCGCCTTGAAGCCACTCACCACAGTAGGAGAGACTGCTAGGAACCCAGCTTCCCTCACTAGATACGGTTCCTGACCTGCTTCTCTGGGACCCCATTGACGACCCGGAAAAGTTCCGCCTCACAAATGTCTCGGAATCTGCAGAGGGGACGGGCGATGGCATGCATTCTGGATTGGGGGACGTTGCGATCAACGACGCATCAGCTGGCCGGCATTGCTTGACCAATATGGAGTGCGCCATATGTACATTGGTTGTCTCGTCGTGCGCCGAGGTTGTTGGGCGAGCCTCCTGCTTTCGAGCATTACAATCATCACAAGTTTCTTTTCCAGACACACAGGCGCAACCTTTTGGTGTAGCTGGGCCATAGTCTGATTCGGATTCGTATTTAGACGAGAAGTAGGCGGATGATGGGGACGATTGCGAGCCCAGAGAATCGGAAAGAGGAGGACTGGGGAGAAGGCCGAAGGAATCTATACTGGTGACGTTGATGTTTTGGTCCGAGCGCCAGGCTCGCAGTGTTTGGCCTCCAGACAATTGTCGCGACGATCTGGCTTCTTTTGCAGCTGATGCGATGCTTTCCAGCGATGGCGAAGATGGTAGGCGCAGTTGAAAGGGTTGTTTCATCCTGCGCACAGAGCGAAAGGGTGACATGACCACCGGCGGACGCTCCACCGGTCGACGTGGCTGCGGAGCTGTAGTATATTCGGCTTGGTCCATCCGGGGAGAAGTCGAGGGAACGAAAGAAAGGGAGCTCTGGGGCTGTTGCTGTCTCCTCCAGGGCTGAACATTGGGCGCATAGCGCGGAGCAGCAACCCCATTCCCTTGGATCATGGCTTCTTCCGCTAACGAATTATATGATGATACTCTCCTGGGTGCGAACGCTGGGACCTGGTTCGCAGACATGGTATGTTGATGACAGTTCCTATTTGGGTTAAGGAACACCCTGGCTGACTGGCAGTCAGCGGAGGACATGGCTGGCACGGTAAATGGTAAATTGCAATCAGACGACAATCGATTTCCTATGGTTACTCGGGACTAATGTGCAAAGAAAGAGAAAAAGAGCAGCATCAATTCTGATCGGGAAAGCGGCTGGCAGGGCCTTATACTACATAACAATATGGGTTTCCAGGTATCCCTTGACTGCCTTGCGGTGACGGGGAAACTAGTCACAGGGCATGTGTACTCTCCCCCTTCGAGAGGGTCATCTAACACTCTGGAACATAGACGAAGAGTGAAGGGCGACCACGCCCACCGTCCTTGCATACCAGAGAGAGGCGAGCGGAGGCAGCGTGCACAGCCATTGGCTAGCAGTCTCAATGCGCGCCACCTGCAGGGACAGCACAACGTGGGTGGTCCGTCTCCCAGGGTGCTTGGATCTCGTTAATTAGCAAAAGGAATGAGACATGCAGTTGGAGGGATGCGAGAGGAGCCTTGGGAGGGCATTCAAAGGACGTCACCGGTCTGATTTCAACGCTCTCTGGTTAGTAGAGGCGTTGCGCGGGACAATCAAAGAAGAAGCCCCTAGAGGGACACCCCTTGCATGGGGTTGCTGTGGGCGCCGGCGATAGGCTCATGTTGATTGAGGGATATGCGAAATTTAATTTAAGTAGCATGTGCAGGAATTCCAGCTTGACTGCGGCCGCGGAGATTTGAGTTGTATCATGATGGGCTTGAATACCACGGGAAGGCAAGCAAATTTTAATCTCCAGATGCGGTCTTGATGGTGGCTCAGTCAATCGGCTTCCGCTGAGAGTGCTATGGTCGACAATGGATGGCTTGCTAGTGGCAACCAAGGGATAGTGTTAGCTTCAATAGGTAAATCAGTCACAAAGGAGAGCAGGGAAACTAGGGAGTTGAAGACAGGGACAGCGAGGGTATCACTCCGTCAACCTGAACTGAGGGAGAGAAGGAGACGAAGCTTAATTAATGAAGGTTTATAGATCGTCTTGTGCAGGATTATCTAAGCATGCATACAGACATGCATAATACTTCCTTATCGGGCACTTGTAGCCAAACCATGCAAAAATCCCGGTTATCGATTGGAGCCTCGATTTCCTCATTTTATTTTATTGCGTTTTCGTGAATTTTGCGTCTCCAAAAATTTAACGGCTCGTCGCATTCTCCCTGCCTCCTGCAAATTTGAACCTTTTGGGGTGGCAGTTCCTCATGCTCTCTGAATGTTTCATCGCATCGACGCTGGCGTCCAGCAAAGCGCCAGCGTCTGCGACCCTCCGCGATGTGGGAGTTTGCGTCCATGAATTCCAGCCCACGCTGAACCTGCGCTCCACCTTCAAGAAGAGCTCAACGGCGGCCAATTGCCTGGCCGTGAGTCCGTCGCACGTTTTCGCTGCGCAGTCCGAGAAAGCTATTGTGCATGTGTATAGCAGGGAGAAGGGCAACCAGGAAGCCATCGTTCCCTTCCCAGAGCGCATTCGCAGCATTGCTGTCGCCGGGGGCAAGAATGGCGATGTCCTGGTCTTGGGAACCGAAGGGGGCCGTTTGATTCTGTGGGAGGTAAATCGATTGTTCACAGCCCCAATGGCGTCGCCAGCTATTCGTCATGGTTTCATACTAACAGCATGTGCTTCCTAGACATGCACCGGGCGACAAGTGGCTACGACAGCGTCGCATCTGCGGCCAGTGACCTCACTCGTGGTCGATCCCAATTCCAACTTCATCCTGTCGGGTTCGTCCGATGCCAGCATTCATGTTTGGTCGTTAGTGGATCTCTTATCCTTCACGAAACCTCCATCCGGCCGTGATCGTCAGCCTCCGAACTCTCCCATCCGTACCTTCTCCAACCACCGCGCCAACATCACCGCCATCGCTGTGGGTCACAGCGCGGGTCGATACAACATTGCTGTGTCTGCTGCAGATGATAGCACAGCCATTGCCTGGGATTATCACACCGGCCGTCTCCTGCGCACCTTCCTCTTGCCGTCCAATGCGAAGTCGCTGGCACTTGACCCGGCCGACCGGGCTTTCTATGTCGGATACGAAGATGGCAGTATTCAGTCGATCGACTTCTACAAGAACCAGTCCATCCAGAACCCTCTCCACGACCCCTCCCTTCAATCTACTCCCTCGCAACCTCCCGCAGAAGATCGTTGGGCACCGCCATCGGCTAATTGCGGCGCGGCTCATGCGCTGACCCTCTGCTACGATGGAATGACATTGCTCTCTGGCCACCAGAATGGCAAGGTTCTCTCATGGACAGTTGGAAGGAAGAAGTACGCCTCGACTGTGGCTGACTACACACATCCTGTCACGAACCTGTTTATGCTTCCTCCCAACGGTCTCCCTCATCCTTCCCTCGACCTCAAACGGGTAGCACACACCATCGTCAAGCCCCGCTACGACTCTTCCCTGTCGGAAACCTCTCAAGCAGCAGGCGCCGTTCCAGCCGACTACACCTTCAGCACGCACCTCCTTCCCTCCGTCTCATCCAAGCCCGACTCTGCTAAGCCCGACCAATTCACCGAAGCCTTCTCCCACGCGTGCTTCCCTGAATCCATGCTCGAAGAAGGCCTCGCCGAACTAGCTGCCTTCAGCCAGCCCACTAGCAACGGAGTTCCAGTCTCCTCGATAGCACAGGGCATTAGCGACGAAGACCTAGCGGCGAAGGATTCCCAAATATCCCAACTGGAGGCGGAACTCGCCACGTTGAAGAAAAAGTCCTCTGTGAACGAGACCGCCCGCCAATCCACAACAGACGAAGTAACTAAGCTTCGCTCTGACCTCGCCAACCTGCACGATTATATCAACGAGCTTCACGAGAACCAAGAACAGGCGCAGCGGGAGAAGATCCTCCGACAGGCGCGGAAAGAAGAGCGGGAGACCCGCCGTCGGGAGGCCTGGTTCGCAGCCGAAAAGAAGGGCAAGAAGGGAGATGCAGTTCTCCGAAACATGGACGCCGAGGATACCGTTATGACGAGCGATACGGATGATCAGAGCAGTGATGAGTAGACTCTTTTTCTCTATCCATTACTTTACAGATAGAATGTGAGGACCTGTGAAATCGACGCCGAAAATGACAGCAGCCACTGAGGCCATAAACGGCCGCATCTCCACCCGTAAATCTCAAAGCAGTGAGCCACCGTCTAGAGGTTCCCCGTGTGTTTCGCACCACTATTCTGCACCCGCCAAGGCGCTGAGGAGCACTGAGGATCACCCGGAGGCTTACCCCATGGTCCCTTCACTGCAGGTTTCGTATCCAATCAGGCCCTCATTCTCCATTTCAAGTTAGCGTGTCCAATGGCATTGCCGTATTGGGTTTACTGCCCCTTCTTCGATCAAAGAAGCCGCAGCCTAAGGAAGAAGGCATCAATGCCCCTCAGCAGTGATTTCTATATTATTTCGCGTAGCACCCGTGTTTCAAATATCGTTCAGCAGCGCGTCCAAGACCGGGCAGTGTAGGGAACGGCTACATGGGAGAAATACGTTCACCATCAGCACTCCCCGTATGATACCATATCCCACCCGTTTACGTTCAGAGAATGTTAACCTGTGTTAGCTGATACCGTTGCGAAGTGGATTAACATGACTGTCTGACTAGTTACCCTCGCAAATTCCGACCTGCTGCGGTCATGCAGTATGGCTACGATTGCTCTTAACCCTCAGGAGCGCGGAGGCTGAGCCCTTCTTAGAGCATATGTCCGGTCATCGGCATATCCACTTGCTAGCCCAAAGTAGTGGTGCCCATTGCCACAAATGAAACCGTTCAAAGCTGATGATACCATGTCCGCAGCACTGCCCCATGACGCAAAGAAGCACTATCTGGCCAATTGCTGCTTGTTGGATGTCCCTGCTGATGCGCATTACGAGTAACAGTGACTACTGCAACCATGCCATATCATGCTGGATTGAAAGGGGGCCAGAAGGGTATAAAAGGAGTCCAGCCCCCCAGTCCTCGATAAACTAGCATGCAACTTCCACTTTCCACATCTGAGGGCTGCTTCCCACATCACCTTGTACGTCGATAATGACAATCCCTACCCTTGAATGGCGAAAAGGTTTCGGACATGAATGTCGAATCTCCATTAAACGGCCGCAAAACGATTCTATTCTGGGTTCTGCAAGTCGGCCCATTCTTGTTGATTGCGAGGATGACAGGGCCAGTCGACCGGATGACGCGGATGGTGATGCCATCCCAGAAACACCCAGCCATCGCCCACTAAGCTATGTAAGTCGATTCTGTGACGAGCGTCCTTACCCACCCATCAACTCAAGAGGGTGGGTCGGAGTTTTTTTGCCTCAGAATGGAGTGGCATTCCTACTCCGAGTTGGAATGGCGTGCTCCGCAGCTGCTCACTCACTATGTCCATCATGCCAGCTTCCAGCATAGTCCCAGAGTACGTAAAGACGGGCCGTTTCGTAACTGACCCTAATGTCAAAACATCCAAAGTAAGCCAGGGCGCAGTAGGTTAGGTCACGTTGTGTCTCTTCGCATTTCTGTATGGCCAACTCGATTCATCCAACTTGATTTCTTATAAATTTGAATCCAAGCTTTGTGAATGGCAAGTTCCTCGGCACATGCAGCTATTGGCCAATACGATGTCGCTTCCGCCCGTTTACCTCGGCCCCACACGAGTGCTGCTCTCGTAACCTCATTCGCTTGTTCATCGGTCGGCTATCCAATTGGGAACGATGAAAGTCAATGATCAACACCCGCTCTAGCTCGGCGTTCCACAGCATGTTATCCGGCCGAAGGTCCTGGTGTAATACCCCGAGTGAGCGAATCTTCTTCTGTGATCGCGATACTTCGTGCCTGATCGTCTCAACATCTTCCAACTTGTGGATAGGTTCACCGCCCCAACCCATCAGGAGCATATGGCGGATCTGGCCAGCCCCGTGCAGGAAGTAGATCATGGCCAGGTCGATTGTGCCGAGAAAGACCGGGACGGCTCGCCCTTGGGCTCGCCAGAGGATACGATAAATATCTGCCTCTCGCTTGACCTCATTCCACAGGTAAGACGTGGTTCCTTTCCCGACGACCGTATACCCATATGAGGTGCACGTGATTTTGAAGGGCGCTCCCGATGCTCCACAGCCTCCCATGGGGGTGCAGTCGACGTCGAGATTTTGGTCCAGTTGCTGCTTGATCCGCCGAACCAGACCGCTGGCGTCAATCAAGTGTTGATTGCTGGTGCCACCCTGTCGATGGAGCTGGACATTCGGGCAGCAGTCATCCAGCGTGCCTCCTCGCTGCAGGCCCAACAGACATCGCTGGGTACAAAATTGAGCGTTGTGTTGGTACCGACCATGTTCGTTCGGCCGGGTGCCCGTCTGACGGGCTGATCGCTGCACCGATGGAGATGATGGAGATGATGTAACCTGGCTGAAGCCAGGTGCGGAGTCCGTATCCGAGTCTGGAGAATCCTCGCGTTCCATGGTGTTCGGCGCGCACTGGGCTCGAGACCGGGTCGGTATTCGACGTCGTTGTGTAGGAGATTCCACCGGAGAGGACGACGGGAGGTACTCGGAGACCGACCGTCCGGAACTCACCGAGGGACTATATTCAGAGCTCGGCGGGTTTTGTCGTAATTCGCTTTCCGGGATTTGGGAGCGGGTATGATCGAAACTCGTCTTCCAGACCGGCAGCTGCTTCTGTGCCTTATTTCGCCAGGCCTGGTCGCGGACCGGCGCGCCAAAACACAGCAAACACAGACACAATACCCGCGCAATGGTTGTCAACGGCTGATCAAAGCTCTGGTCATCATTTAGATCGATCTCCATGTTTGGCTCACATAGGTGGTAGTACAACGTGCCCGGCTCATCGTAAGGGACACGTAACAGAACCAATGCTAATCCGTTCGTCAAATATGAGTACTCGAGACCTTCCTGGATCATGACATGGTACTCTTGAGTTATAGCCGATCCGGTCAGCCAGGCTGCATTATACGACAATTTCGCAGATTCCTCCGTGGGAATGGAATTGGGCTGGACCACCTCTTCCCAAAAGTTCATCTCTCGCAAGCCGGCGCGCAGGTTCTCGACGGACAGTTTATGAGGCGGCTTATACTCGACTGTGGTAAGAAGCGTATTTCTCTCACCATCAACGCGGCGGATGCAAAATTGATCTGGTCTAGAACGCCGGTACGTCGAGGATTCAGCCAGTAGGGACAGATCAGCCTCAGTTTGATCGAGGGCGTTTGCATGATTGTCAAACTTGACCCCATCGCCCAAGCCAAACTGGTCTCGGGCAGCAGGGTTCTTACAAAGTTCTGCGATAATGTCATGAACATAGTTCTCCACACCAAATCGTTCATAGCTTTCCAGATCCTGTTCACTACTTATAGCTCTTTCACCAAACCTTTGCCCCAGATCCTCCAGCACAAGGCGGGGCGAGAATAGTGGCGCGGCGGTCTCCCCTGGAGTCTCCAGATAGGCGCAAATAGAGCGGTAAACCTCCTGTTGTCTGGCATGACAATCTTCCCAATGCCGAAGCCGCAACGGACAATATTTCCCGGTCGGCGGGGGTATTTTACCAGTCGTAGAGCGAGACGGGGTTTCAACTCGTAGCTGCAGCGAGAAAAGGGAGTGGCACAGGCGAAGGAGCTCGAGAAAGGTCGTTAGCCGTGTTCGTTCTCGTCCTTGGTCCCGCTCTTCCTCTGCCTTTCTTTTGCCTTCCTCTGCCTTTCTTTTGCCTTCCTCTGCCTTTCTTTTGTCTTCCTCCGCCCTCAGATAAAGCGCCTTATAATCTGGAGAACTGGAGCGATCCATCTATTCGATAAGTGAACATGTACAGAATCGACGCGGGTTATTCCGACAAGAACCTAGAACAAACGGGATGTCAACAAACAGAATCGACTGGAGAAGTCTGGCTTGGAGTCGGCACAATGTCAATATGAGGGAAGTTAAGAGACATAGGACAACCCACTCTGGCTCAAAGTGTTCGTACAGCATCAACTGATTCGTAAAGGCGAAATCTTCCAGGGCATTTTTTAGACGGGGAAGGTGATATACTGGCTGATTAGCGCTTATCTATCACGTGATATACGGATCATGTGGACCGACTCGTGTGGAGACACAATATTATTATTAGTGCACATTGGCCGTGCCAAGCATTGATTCATGACACATGCTAACCTTCGATGGGTCCCGCAACTCTTTAAAATAAAAAAACATCATCAACCAATATTTACAGTTAAAAGCGAGAAGAACCCCCCAGTCAAAATTTTAACATGTTTCCAAATCGAGTCCGGCACCTTTTACTTCTGGCGTTCCCACAAGGAGCCAGAACACCCCCACGAATCAAATAATCAAAGTTAACTCTGTGCCTGATGGAATATTAAGTTGCATATAACACCGCGCAGTTCGGTTTGATACGAGTCATTACCACGGGTACTTAAGTACCCTAACTAGTTCAGTCGGTGTTTCTGGACCAGTTTATTACTGCTTGTCCTGGGAGTAAGCTCAAGAACAACCTGGCCACCAGGATAGAAGGAAACCGAAAGGTTTGTTCAGATGAGTTCCACAGATAGTAGACCCCCGCCGCGGAATGGAGAGTTAACCACGTGATAATGTCATGTGGAGAGACTAAAGTATGGAAGTTCATTGACCCAGACAGCTTGTAGTATTGGCTTTCGTTGCTTCTTTCTCGGCTGAGCCCCTCTTCTAATACATTCTACTGCAAAATATATCTCTGCAACTCCGCAGCTGTTGATCGGCCCGAAGGCACTTCGCTGGCGAATGCAGTGGATAAGTTATCAATATCTTCCAGCCTCCAATCAGGGTTGGCTGGTATGGATATTACATAGGGGCCCGAAGGGCCGCGTAGTGAGGGTAGTAGTATATTCAATAATATTTAATAATAATATATTACTATCATTTACTATTATTACCTGTAATTACTTATTCTTATTTACTATTATTGTATAGTTTAGTAATAGTTATATATAATAATAGTTAGTTATTTATATATTATAAAAAGATTATTTATTGTTATTCTTAGATAAATTTTATTTTAAATTAATAAATCTTATTTAAACTAAATAATTATATTCTATTATTATAAAGTTATATACTGTTTGATAATACTTATTAAATTCTATTAATAAAATAAATAATTTTTTATTTAATATTTTATATATTAATAATATCTGTTACTCACAGTTAGAAAAAATATTATAAAATTAAATAATATATATAAATTATAAATATTCCTGATCTACTGATTATATTATTTATATAATAATATATTTTTATAATTAAGAATCTTGAAAGTTATATAAAATTATATTAAAAATAATAAAAAACTAAATTATAATAATTATATAAAATTAATATTTTATAGACAGTATACTAAATCTAGTTTATTATTATTAATTAATAATTATCTAAAGTTATTATATATATTTATTATAAATATCTATTTAATCTTATTTT